TTTCAAACTACTCTTTTTGGATTTTATATTTTAGTATAAATATAATTCTGATAATCTAACAGATTTTTTCAGTAACTATTAAACTGTTTTTTATAACTAAAAGAGCTAAGAGATAAAATATTTTTCTTGTAATTGAAGCTGCAGAAAACAATATGTAAAAGAGACATCAGTGTTCCTTCTGCATCAACGGGATAAAAAAAACCTCAACATATGTGATAAAATCATTTGCATATCATTTGTTACAAAATACTGGGGAAAAGCCCACATGTCTCTGCCACTTTTTAATCCGGTTAATCAAGCTGTTATTAATTATAACTACTTCTTATATTAAATGTGATTAAACAAGTAGATTGATCTAATTGCCTCGTTTGGGAAAGAATGTTGTACTAGAATGTTGTAGGGTATACAAAGTAATTTATATTATTTTCATTTTTGATTGTGATTTTAACCAATCAATGGCATTAGTGCAAAAGTGCTTCGAGATAGAAAGAAAATTTCATTGCTTGAAAATTTTTTCTTGGGACAATCAAGTATATGTATCTTGAGACAAGGTACAACATATGCATACTTTCTTAAGAATTTCCATGTCTTTTGCTACAAGAAGATGTGTTCCAATCGGTTGCAATCTTTTAAATGAAGAAAATTTTAAATTCTAAAAGGATATTTTAATAAATTGTGAGAGTTTTTCATTATTTTTTTTATTTATGACACGTTATAAATTTGGAAACAGTAAATTTGTTCTGACACATGCAACTTTGCTGCGCTTATCTTGGTTTAATAAGTAAATTTTTTTTAACTTTTAATTTCTTAAGTTTCCAGCTCATGTGTCCTAGAACCAACTAAATTTTTTGAGCTTATAAATAGCTTTTAATAAACTTATTTGTTATAAAAAGAAGAATTCAGTTTCCGTTCCCTTTCCACCATACCAGAAAAATAATAATAATTGCAATTATCTAAATTGAATTAGTACTTCTATAGATCGGTTATTTTTGTTGTAATTATTGCAATAGGAATTTAGTTCAACATGTTTATGTTTGCTCTATTCACCGCTTTTCTATGTGTTGATGTCTAAACTAAGACATTGTTTAGACAAAACGAACAAAAAAGCAACCGAACGAATGAGTGAGCAAGCCAGCAATTAGGCAAGCAAACAATCAATTGCTCAGTTTAAAATTTGTAGGTCACTATCAAATATTTTTTTACTCATTTAAGACCAGCTAAAATATTATGAAGTGAATTTTCAGCTGCTTTTAAAAAGTAATGTCAGTTATGAAGAAAATAGGATGAGCGATTAATTATTGAAACCAATAAATTTATGATAAAGAATTAAGATTTTTTGAACTGGTTCGAAAAAAATAATCAAAAAAAGAAAAAGCTGAAGATTTCCATAAATTTAATTACAGAGAATATAACAAAAATGTTCAATATTATAATTTTTCTTTAAAAAGTTTATAATTAATTAACAATTTCAGAAATATTATTTGTGATTCAAATAATGTTCATAACGTACCTTTTCTAAAATCAAAACTAGTTCGGTTTTCATCATTGCAAGTTTGTAGGAGAATAAATTAAATTTAATTAATTTATTTTTCCTGTACCTAATCACGATTTGTGGTCGGATATGACTAATTCTTTAATTTATTTAAAGAAAAATTCAAACTTCAGTTGAGAAAAAGAAAAACAGAAATTAATTTCATGTTATTTTAAACTTATGTTAACTTAAACTAATTAATTTTTTTCGGCCGTTGTTAAAATGTTAAAAGTGCTATTTTCACTTCTCTTTACTTCACTTTTCATTTATTTTTTAATAGAATATCTCAGCATCTCTTGATCAATTATTTGCTCTCAAGGCACTTTATCTCCGATAGCTCCATCTAGCTGAAAGAATTTCTATGAGGGAGTTTCCCAGCATCTTGAAATCTCAGCAACGATATTTTGTTATTTTTATTTTTTGCTTGATAGCTCTAGAAAATTAATTATTTTCTTGTATCTAGAGATATAGAATATCCAGAGAGAAAGTTAAGAAGTCCACAGTTTTAATTATTATCAATTAAAATGCCAGAAAATGCTTATTTCAAAGTGATTTTTATTCAAATTAATTTTAGAGACATCAGAATGTTTTGAATGATATTAATTATATTAATATAATTAATTATTTTAATATAATTAATTATTTTAATATAATTAATTATTTTGATATAATTAATTATTTTAATATAATAATATTAATGTAAGCAACATTATCAAAGAGTCGGTAACTTATTATTTCACATTAAAAGCTAACAAAGTAAAAATGTTAGAATTTCGTGCGATGCGCAAAACAATTTTTTAGTAATTTTATCATCTAGAAGGACGATATAAAAAAAATAACGAATAAAGTAGTCTGTAGTAAAAAAGATTCAATCTGTTTTTTTTACCGTAATTTTAATATTGATCTGTAGAAGAGAATTATGAATTTTCAGTTAATAATTTTAATGCTTGACTAAATGCTACAAACAGACAAATTTCATGTTATTTATCATTAAAGGCCAACTTAACAAAACAAATGCAATTAAAAGTCTGTTTCATTCTAATTAGTAATAACAACATTATAAAAAGATGATTTTATTTAATATTTTTTTAAAGTTTAAGTTTAAACTGTAAACATTGAAGATAAAGACAATAAAAAATCAATGCATCATAAAACTGAATAATTCAAATTGTATTCTGAAATAAAGAGCTGATAAATGTGTTTTGAAACTGCTTCAAAAACAACATAGAATTATGCAGTTAGCATCATAAGTTATTGTTTATTAGCATTATTGTTGATTGTTTTTTTTTCTTCGATGTTGCATTATCAGACAATTGCTCTCCATAGAAAAATCTACTAAATTTTTTTATTAGTTTCTGTAAAAAAAATTGTCCTTCATTTAAGTTTCTGTATTTTTTTCTGGGAGGGGGGAGGAATAAAGAATTTTCATACAAAACCTTGAAAATTAAGGCTTTTCTTAAAACTATTCAAAGTATCTGTTGAATGTTCTTGGGAGATTAGACGCTCAGTTTGTGTGACCAGATTGAATATTTTAAAAAGTTACTCTAACGCTTACGTTAATAGTTGTCATATTGGTGGAAAAATCTCAGCAAATTAAACATTTTGAAAAAGTTTTAAATATTTCTAAAAAGTTTTAAAACTTTTAAAAAGGTTTTAAATTATTTGTCTGCTCTAAAGCCCAGGTAATTCATTATATCAAGATGGTATAGATAGTATATATAGTATAAAATTATAGCTTTGTTTTAAGTGTAAGGTCCTTAAACTTTTTTTATTCCTTGACTAAGGTCTTGATGAAAGAACTTCGAAAAATATTGCTAAGGGTAATTATTTGGTATACATTTGCTCGGTATTCCCTACATTGATATTTTTACTGTTGAGAAAAATTAACCAGAACACACTGGTTCGGTATTCGCTACAATGATTATTGTTTTTTTTTTAAATTTAAGAGCTGTTGTGCGGTATACACTTAGCCAGTATTCTCTGTTTTACTTATATAATTATTATTAGAAATTAAGAGCATTGTCTGCTATTCATTACACTTGGTTTTTTCCTAACCTACTCTAAATGAATATTTTTTTCAAAATATTAAATAAGTTATAAAATCGGATATGAAAAAATGTCGAACATTCACCAAAGCAGCTATGTAAATATCAATACTCAGTGGAGAAAGTCGACATTCATCTCATTTCACAGAAATGTACCTTTATCTCATATTCCCCTTTAATAAGTAAATATGGATTAATTTCAAACTTTGGAATAAAAGATATCTTCTTTCTCTCTGTTCATTACTGTCATAATAAATGGAAATCAAACAGATAAACTCCAATGTCATTATCCCGAGAGAGAAGATAATAAGAATATAATGCAATTTCGACTAAGTTTCTGGCATCCATGCTTAAATCACTAATGACATTATCTAAGTAACTTATGAAACCTAAACTTTAGTATGAAATGGGCAATTAATAAAATAAAACTCCTCTTGCCACCTCGTGTTGTTTTTTAGATGCTATTTTCATAAACAATGAATATTAAATTTGCATTTAAAAAAAGATCTTACAACTCATTAATCATCAATTTAATCCAATATTTATTATTGTATTTCAAATGCATGTTTTACTTCAAAAATTATGTAAATGAAATTTTTGTCAACAAATTAGAGAAATAAGCTGCAAAAATCATTTCATTAAAATATTTATTATTATTATTATTATTATTATCATTATTATTATTATTATTATTATTATTATTATTATATTTAGCATAATTTATTATTATTATTTTAATTTTAAA